TTGGGCCACTCACATTCGTGGCTATATCCTTGTGTATCCTTGTTGAAAAGGACATGAGAAGCCACTTAGCTCGCGAGAGTCTCTCCACAGTCACTCTGCCTGTGTGTATATACACCCAATGGCAGCATACAGCAGCACATAATGGCATATAGTCGAATATATATATATAGAATATAGCGAGTAGAGTTGAGACACCCCGAAAAGCGTGCTGCCGCTCTGCCGTTGGCCGCCGGGACTCAACTCGACTCGAAGTCGGACTTGGACTCGTGTCGAGTTCTTGATGCCTCGTTAGTTGTTGATGACACTTCAGTTTGGAATGTTTAGAGTGCGCTCCGAGCTCGATCGCGATACGGACACCAGCCAGGATATATATTAACATCGCTCGTTCGTTCCTCCGGTCGTTCACAGTGCCATTATCTAGTGTACCAGTGTCCCTCCCCACTACATATATATATATATATATATCCCTATACTATCAATTTTTTTTGCCGTGCTAAAAAGAACCCCCCCGATTGTCAAAGTGGCGGAGAAACGCAAAAGTCCGTCCACCACGCCGCCGCCCGCGCCGCAGCGTCGCAAATCAAACGGATCCTCACCCAGCGGAGGCGACGGCAACGGATCCCCCTCACCGGTAGAGATGACCACCTCGGGTCTGGGCTCTGTGGTAGCCAGCTCCGGAGCGGTATCCTTGGAGCGTACGCCCACAAAGCGCAGCGAAAGGGAGCGCGAGCGGGAGCGGGAACGGGAGCGGGACAACAGCAGTGGCTTGGGCAGCGCTGGTAGCCTGCCAGCATCACCGCAGAGCGGCATCACCGTCAGTCCCGCCTCACCGGCCACACCCTCGACGCCCAAGCGACCCCTAAGGACATCCACGCCCTCCATGGAGCGGGAAAGGAATCGGGATCATGAGAGGACACGGGATCATGACAGGGAACGGGAACGGGAGCGGGAAAGGGAAAGGGAGCGAGAGCGCGAGAGATCCGCCAGGATCTTTAGCACCGCCAGCACCACCGTGCCCACAAATACCAGCTCCAGTGCGAGTGGCTTGGCGCCGGAGCAGCTCCGCATCCCGACGGGAGCGGCTGCCTTTAGCGGCTTTCCCGGTCTCCATAGCATGAGCAGCCTAATGGTTCCATCATCGGCGGCTGTGGCTGCCGCAGCTGCTGCCCCCTTCCTGCCCTGGTCACCCATCCTGTTGCCGCCTTGGAGCCACGCCCTTCTGCCAGCCGCCTTCTATCCGGCGGCCCTAAGAAACGCTCTACCCGGGTAAGCACTTGGTTATGATGGAAATTGAGATATATGCTAAATATATATCTTATATAACTTGTTACAATGGGTATATGTTGATAAAATATTGGGTATGATAAGTATATATCTTATAGTTGGATAGATCTTATTATATTCTGTAGATGGTAGGATAACTTAACTTATTCCAAGTTATATAGAAGGGGTTATGGGGTTTATATCTCTTAGATTGGTTATGGGATAAACCTGGTTTTAAGATATATGTTTAATATATATCTTATATAACTTGTTACGATGGGTATATGTTGATAGAATATTGGATACATCTTAGAGCTTGGTTATGATGAGGTTATATCTAATAGTTGGATAGATCTTATATCCTGTAGATCGTAGGATTAACTTAACTTATTCCTAGTTATATAGAAGGGGTTATGGGGATTATATCTCTTAGATTGGTTTGAATCTCTGGAGCTTAGGAAACTTTGAAGTTCTTTTAAACCCTAGAAGGAAGTAAAGCCTCATAAGTCTTCTAAAACAATCTCCATAATCTAATAATATCTCCCTTTAAAATTAAAGTATTTATAAAATCCTGAACTAAAACGATTAAATATAATATTGATTTGGATACTCCAAAATATCCGAGTGAAGATGTCAAATAGATCTAACCCTTTTCTTACTTTATACTTTACTTTGAATATATCTAGAAAATTCATTAAAATTATTTACAAATTTCTATTTTTCCCAAAAATACAACACCTAAATGTTATAGATTTATCATTTTGTTGACGAAAAATTCTTGAAAAATCCCTCTTTTTTCCATATTGATCTCATTGATCTTTCTTATTTTAATAAATATTTAAATTAATAACTTTTTAATGGCTGTTCTTAGTCAATTAATACCCAAATTGTCTTCAAAATGTAAAACAAGATCGAAGTAAATCATCAATACAAATAATAATTCCAATTAATACCAATCAAGGAATTATTGAAGATTGAAGATTTAGATTTAAATCTATTATCCTGCCTTCAAAAAAGAAATCCCCTAAGCTATAAGTTTGCCCACGGTTAAGCTCTGACTGAAAATCACACCCTAGCTATGCCCCGGGATCTCGATCCCATTTGCCAATCTCCCGTCCAGCTAATGGACTTGTCCGGCTAATCCCACCAGCTCCTCGGAGGCCAGTGGACCAAATCCCGGCGAGGCACGGGCAAATGTGAAATACCAGACACCATGGGATGCAGCAGGATTGCAGCAGGACAACAGGACGTAATTCCCCATGCAAGATGGGATGAGCAAGTACTCAAGGTTGGCTGGGCCAACGGGGAAATTGGGAAATCCTGGCTTAGAAATTCCCGTTGCCAGTGGAAAGCCCAAGGCGGCGGGAACATGTGTGCAACAGAACAGAGGTCCCGAGTCCTGGTCTGGCGGCGTCACACTGTCTGGCAGAAGGGAATTCCCTTGCACAGGACAACCGGGGAATGCCCGCTATCCTTCTCCCTCTCTCTCTCTCTTTATCTATGTTTTCTTTGGCGTGGGAATTTCGCGCGGTTTGGGAAAAACTCAAGATGGAAAAACCGGAAGCAGACGAGCACTGCAAAGGTAGGCGAACTTGCGCCAACATGTGGCAGGACCTGTTTCGACCTGCCGAACCTAAAGAGACCTGTGACCTGTGACCAGTGTCCTGTGTCCTGTGTCCTGACCCGAGCAGGTAGCTGCTATGTTTTAATTGTTGATGGTATTAGTGGAAAATCAAATCTGGCCAACGGTACCGACTAGGTGTCAATAATCTAGCGATTTGCTTGCACTTAATCGAAGTTAAGCCAGAGTCCTGCAGGATACTCTTCTTTTCTCCAGCTAGATCTGCATAGATGCACTATATATATGTATTGTATATTGCTATATCCCCCGTCACCTCCTGGGGCAAGTGTGAAAGTCAGACTGCGGCAGGTAGCTCAGGTACATAGATCGTAGGATCTTTGCAATCCTTGTGCTGCTGCTGCTGAACTCCTTTTGGTCCTTTGTCGCACCTTCCGGCCATTCATAAGATCTCAACAGAGGACCGGATGTAGTTGCAATGAGCATGAAATGCTGGAATACAACCAGGATTTCCTATCAATTCATTTCAAGATGAATCTTTTACTCATTTTGCTTCTCTCTTACAACCGGCAAAGACCTTTGATTATTCATCATTTGTCATTAATCATTTGTAATTTAGAAAGTATTAGGGAGTAAACTTATAATTGATCTTAGAAGAGGGATTTTAAAAGGTGTAAATTTAAAATTAATATATAAAATATATATTGAAAGATTACTAAATATAAAAATATGTGTTAAGATGTTTTATACCCTTGCAGGCTTTAATAATTTTAATAACTCATGAAGGAATCATTTCCGACCCTATAAACCATATATATTCTTGATCAGCATAAATAGCCGAATCGAACTAGTATGTTTGGTACAAAATATTTTTTTTAGATTTTTTTGTCAAATTTTTATCATTAAATTTTATATTGTTAAAATTTAGAAAATTGACAAAATTTTAATTTTGTAAAACTTGAAAATGTAGTATGCAGATTTGTTAATCTTATAAAAACTAGCACAGAACAGCTTTCCGAATTGAAATTAATGCATTTTTGGCTGCGTTATGAATTTTTTAAATTTTGATATCTCTAAAAAATTATAATATAAAAGTAATGATAAATTTCGGGTCAAAAATTGTATTTTAATTTTAGTCTGAAGCTTCTAACGTCTAAAGGAATCATTTCCGACCCTATAAATCATATATATTCTTGATTGGCATTAACAGCCGAATTGATCTAGACATGTTTGGCAGGAAAACATTTTTTTCGATTTTTTTTTCATTTTTTTGTAAATTTAGCATTGTTAAACTGACAAAAATTTGAAAAATTTTAAATATTTTTAAATTTTAAATAGAGTATGCAGAATTTTTACTTTATTAAAAACTGACATGGAACCGCTTCCTGAATTGAAATTAATGAATTTTTGGCTTAGTTATGAGTTTTTGAAATATTGATTTATGGAAAAATTTACATTAGCTATGAGTTTAAACTTTAATACATTTTGAATTCATTTTCTATATTGTTTGATGTCTAAAACTAACATGTTAAGCTAATTTCATACAGAAATATCTAATAAAATTATTTTATATATTTTATATTTAATATATAGTATTCATATGTTCTATATATTTATAAATTCTTAGGTAAATCAAGTAGGTTGTTCACTTAAAGTATTAGTTATCTTTCTGTGTCATATTACATTCTATATCATATAAGTAAGAAGTTCAGAACTTAAAAAGCAGTAGATTTATAAATATTTATCCGGATAAAATGCAATTGGAAAAGAACAAATTCATGGCAGGACTTGAGTAAGAAAACCTTTTTAGAACCCACTCTTAAGGAAAATTCGTAAAAAATTTATACAAATCGTATACAAATTTTATAAAATCGTTCAAAATCTTAAAAAAATTGTAAAGAACTTAAAAATCTAAAGAAAACTTAGAGAATCTCAATAAAATCCATACATACAAAGCTAAAACAAAATCTATAAAAATCTCTTAAATCTTTAAAAAATCTCATACAATTTTATAATATCTATGAATATCTTAAAAAATCTATGATTATTTTACGAATCAATAGAAATTCTTCTAAAAAATCCTTATAAAAATCTTATAAAACTCCCTAAAAACCCAAGACAACCGCCTAATAATCCCCTTTCTTTAACCTATTTGCAGCCTCTTCGATGCCAAGGTGCCCTCATCGCAACGCTCTGGCTTCCACATATCGGACATCCTGAATCTGGAAGGATCCGAGCTTAAGAATGCCGCCGCTGCGGCAGCCGCTGCAGCGCATCAGCAGCAGCAGCAGCAGCAGCATGGCAGCGATCTGAGTGAGTCCACCAATGGACATGGTCATCATGGAGGACATGGACACGGCGGACCCTCGGCTTTGTCACCCACACCGGCGGCGGCGGGTTCCGGTGGATCCGAAATTCAGAGCAGTGGCACTGGAGCCGCGGGTTCCAGCTCGGCGGGTTCGGATCATCATACCACCGAGCACCATCATCCGCATAGCCAGCAACTGCCGCATCCGCATCCCCAGCATCCACACCCGCACACGCATCCACATCTCCACCAGCAGCACTCGCATCCGCATCAACAGACGGTACCAGCCTTGCCGCTGAGTCATCATCATCACCAGAGTGGTGGCAGTGGAGGAGGAGGAGGAGGAGGCGATAGCCATGCCCAGGCGGCGGCTCATCTGCTGGCCAGCCATAATGCCGCCGCTGCTGCTGCCGTGGCCGCCGGTCAGTACCTGCCCAATTTGCCCAAGAATTTTGCTGGAAGCTTTGGGGATGAGATGTCCTCGTATCATCACATAACCCAGACCATGCTCCAGCATACGGGGAGGAGTGCATGGATCAAGGAGAATGAGCTATATGGTGAGTGGTATAAAAGCTAAAGCAACTAAAGATCCTTGTAGAATCCTGAACGATTAACTGGCTAGGATATTGTTTCGTAATTGCCGCAGTTATTCGGTCAGTCGAGCGATGAGGCAGCTGTGTTTGCATTCAAGGACTCCTGGCAGTCAGTCAGTCAGTTCAGGGTTCAGGTGCTGTTACAGGGAGTGACTGCAAGAGTCCTGATCCTGGCCCACACCCAAAGGCAACCTCCACCTCCTTGCGTTCCTCCTTCTCATTCATTGGCAGTTAACTGCGGATCGAAATGAGTCTCTCACTGGGTCCTTTTTTTTCAAGGGGGTTGGGGATGAGGACTCTGGACTCGGGACTTCCCCTCTCTCTATATAATCTTGACTAATAGTTTGTATGCGCTTCACACTTGAGGATTAGCTGCTGCTCTTGTGTGTCCTTTTTTGCTCGTTTCGATCGCTCCTTGTTGTTGCGGCCCAAACATTTCTCGTCCTGGAAATTTATGGCACGCACTTCCGCCTCGTCCTTTTTTTATTCGACTCTCCTCTCTCCTGTGTTTTTTATTATTCCCTTTTTTGTTTAGCTACAAATTATAATTGCTGGTTTTCCTGAGCGCTCTTTTCGCTTTCTTTCTTTCTTTTTTTTTTGGGAATTTTCACAGCTGTGAAGGAGTCGAGGAGGCGTCGTTTTGATTATATTAAGTTATTAATTTGTTGAGTTGTCATGGTGAAGGCGAAGGGTATTGGAGTTGGAATCCGACTCAGAGAAGGGCAAGGAGTAAGAGGAACTAATGGATGAGCATTAGCTGCTTTTTTTGTTTAGTCAATGGGCCAGAACTTGTAAGGGAAAAGCAGGTGTTGCCTAATCGTTCTTGAGAACTCGCTAATGGCTTTGGTTTTGCCAATAAAATTGGATCGTGAAATAAACCAATATATCGATTTTATAGAATTTTAAATATACATCTTTGAGAATTACACATTCTAGGATTTCTGTTTAACTATATTGTATACCTTTTAAGTTGTTTAAATGGTTGTTATACCTAGAAACAAAAGGCCAAATAATTTCCCCATCCTGAATGCATTTGTGGTTGCCCCGATCCCGCCCCAGGAAACAGGACATCAGTCCACGCCCGTCGATAAATCAAAGATCACAAATCACACTCTGTATCTCCCTTTCCCAATTTTGCAATGGAAAATATCCTTGCAAAGTGGGCGAGGGAAGACCGGAAGAGATCGGAAACTGTGACTGCCATTGATGCATTTTGAGGTTTGGCTTTTGTGTTGCCCTCCATTAGCATCCTGGTTTCTCTGGTTTAGTACAGGCCCCGAAGGTCAGCAGTCATCAGTCAGCAGGAGATCGTTCACGAAGCAGACAGAGAGAGAGATCCTGCCAGGTAGACAAGGGAATACCTCCCTAATTGAGGTTATTAGGCAGAGCCATATCCGCATAGGGGTTGATTTGTCATTGCCATGTATATACCATTATATATATAAATATCTGATGTATAGGCTATACATCTGGCAGCGACCACAGCCTCATGTCGCGCCTAATCCAATTGCCTCCCTGATTCCACTTCCCCTTTATTTTTGCGGATCCTGAATCTCTGCTCGATCATTCAGGTCGAGGGTGAGGTATATAGTTCTCTATAGTTCGGGTTGTTGTTCCTATAGTTTAGGGGTGTGGCACTGCATTAATTTATGGCCAAAAAGGCATTTCAATTGCTGACAAATTCCCAGCCAGCTAGCGTCCTTTTGTCTCTACGTTTTTGAAAACAAGAATTGATGGCTAAAGGGAGTCCTTAAAGGGATTTATGGAGATGTGTTAAACTATTTCTCTAACTTGAAACCTCTTTTCTCTATTATCCTTTCCCAGGCACTCAACAACCAGCCAGTCCTGATAGCACCTCGCCAGTGACCTCAGAGGTCTCCTACACCTACATTGGCTCCAATTGCCAGACCTCACCTGCTCTTTCCGGGGATTACAAAAGCTATAGCCGATCGGCGGACAGTGATGCCCTTTCGGTGGGCGATGCCCTCAATAGCCACACTCTCCATGGTGGCTCCTCTGGTGGCAGTGGACCCTCGGCGGCGCATGCTCTGCACAACAATAACAATAATACCACGAATAATAACAACAACAACAACAATAGTTTGAAGCACGAAGGCATGAATGGAGGTGGTGGAACCAGCAGTGGCCATGACGATAGCCTCAACGAGGATGGCATCGAAGAGGACATCGATGATGTGGACGATGCCGATGGCAGTGGCGGCGGCGGTGGCACCGGTCCCGATGGTCTGCCCAACAAGAAGCGAAAGCGCCGAGTGCTCTTCACCAAGGCCCAGACCTATGAGCTGGAGCGAAGATTCCGCCAGCAGAGGTATCTAAGTGCGCCGGAGCGAGAGCATTTGGCGAGTGTGATACGATTGACGCCGACACAGGTGAAGATCTGGTTCCAGAATCATCGCTACAAGACGAAGAGGGCCCAGAACGAGAAGGGTTACGAGGGACATCCGGGCCTGTTGCACGGACATGCCACACATCCGCATCATCCATCTGCCCTGCCATCACCGCGTCGCGTTGCCGTTCCAGTGCTGGTGAGGAATGGGAAACCCTGCTTGGGTGATGGCTCCAAACTGGGTCCCGACTGTGTCTCGGCCACGGCCACGGCCATGCAGAATGCAGCGGCTGCCCATCATTTGGTGGCCTTGAATGGAGCGGCTGCCTATCAGCATGCAGCGGCTGCAGCCGCCGGATTACATGCCCACGCCCATGCCCATGCCCATGGACATGCCCATCCACATGCCCAGAGGGCCTGGTGGCCCTAATATTGTTAGAGGAGAGGATCTGGTGGTGTGTGGAGCTGGGATCTTCAGGGGCCTGGAGCCACTCGAATAGGTGGATCGCACAGGGATCCCCTTGGTGCAATAAAACAGAGAGAGATATAGAAATAGAAAGAGAAGGGGAAGAGCAAAAATGAGAGCAAAAAGAGAGCAAAAAGAGGGAGTAAAGAGAGAGCAGAAAGAGAGAGATAGCGAGGCAACATATACTGTAAAACAGGGCTGCATCTAGGAGCAGCTCTGCATTAGAAGCCAAAGCCAAAACATACTATAAATTATAAACAAAACAAAAAACCCCAACAACAAAAAAATTAATAAGATAGTTTTCAACGATTCCTCATCGAGTCCATTCCTGTACATAGGCTAGCGGGGATATACCCCACTAAAAATATAAATATATATATTAAACTAGTAATAAAAACAAAAGGTAAAGAAAGCAAAACCAACAAATGTAGCTCAAGAGCTATATGCCCACTTAGTCAGGGGTTAACTCTTTATATATACTATATATAGACAGACCTGACAGCTGGCCCCAAGATAATGTTCTTTGGATTACTATTATATATTTTTTAGTAGCATTTAGAGTATATTATCTCAACGTCATTTGTCAAGTACTTAGAGGTCTCCATTATTCACTGCACTAAAGTTGATAATACTTATAAAATCTAGATCTAGACACAAGCATTTTTTGTTTTTTTTTTTTTTTTCTACACCTAAAGGAAAATTTTGTACATATTAAAAATAAAACAAACAAAAAAACAGTAATTAAGATAATCAAAAAGAAAACATAACCCACAAAAAAAAAAAACAACTTATAAATGGCAATGCAACTAAATCTGTACTATATAAACATATATAAATTTAAATCAAGCGTAATTAGTGTTCAAATTTTTAGAAAGAATTTAATAAAACCCTTTTTTTTGTATGAATAATAATAATATATATATAATTATAGACACTTAGTCCTAATCAATCTTTTTTTTTCGTGTGTGTGCGTGTATAGCGAGTAAAAGAAAACTCTTTGAATTTATAGCGAGTAATGAGTTCATAAATGTTAACAAAAGACAAGGACAGCTAGACAGACAGACGGAGTGGCGAGTAACGAGTTACAAGTAACGAGTAACGAGGACAAAGGACAGATCAAATGTATTTGAGACAGAAGCAAAGCGAAACAACAACACAACCAACTGCAAATACATTTTAGAGATTTAATAAAAACCATTTACAAAAATTTAAACAAAAAACGAAACGGTCTTTTTATTTAAAAAATACATTTTTGGTTGGAAAATAAAATAAAACGAAAAGTAAGTACTACAGAGGGAAACAGGTATTGATTTTACTTTAATTGTTTTATATAATTTTAATAATATATAAATGATTTATTTTTTTATGGGCTTCAATTATCGATAAAGTGATAATAATACAATACCTTGAAACAGTTTATTTAAGGTGTTGAACAATAAAAGTAGTTGAACAGCAGTGTGCGAAAACTACCTTTGTTTAATTCGTATGAAAATGGTTTAAAACACTTAATCTCACAAGTTGTGACTTTTCTGTCAATCGCTCTAACTCAACACTCTACTCGACATAAAAACTGAAAGTCTATACAAATAACTAAAGCTACTCCGAATACTACAACTAGAACACTAAGAATTCGGCAGAAAACTAAGACATGACAACACTAAATAAGCTACAGCCACCAGGAAGTGCTTCTCCTCCTCTGAGTCATGGCTACCAGAAGCTAGGGGATGCTAGGGAAGCTGCGATGGTCTTAGGAACGCCCAGATCCTCCCATATTGTTAGTGAGTCACTAGTACAACCGGAAAACCAGCCTACCCGGGACCAGATCCCGCCTCTAACCGGCGAGGCTTCAGAAAACGCAACCGCAGTCCCCCAGGAACTCCAAGAACTCCATTGATGTCATCCCGTTTTCAGGACCTCACTCGACCCCGTTCTTTAAGGCGATGCACAGACAGCGTAGCTGTACAAAGGATTCAGTGTGAACTTAACAAGTTTTGGACAGAAGCGCCCGAAGGTTGCCGCCGCATCGATGTTGACGAGAAGGATATATTTCGTTGGAGGGCCACCATTGATGGTCCACCTAATACTCCCTATGAGGGCGGGATATTTGATCTAGAAATCAACTTTGATGAGGAATATCCGTTTAAACCGCCCGAGGTTAAGTTTCTTACACCCGTATTTCATTGCAACATTGCGCTGGGTGGAGAGATATGTATGGATATTTTGCAATCTGAATGGACACCAGCCATAACAGTGGCAGCATTATTATTATGCATTATATCCATTATGACAGATCCCAATGTAGATGATGCCCTGATGCCCGATCACGCTGCCATGTACAAGGAGAACCGGAAGGAGTACGATTCCCAGGCACGCCGTTGGACTCGCAGATTTGCCAAACCTGATTAGACGCGATGACAACTGGCTTTCCAGAATGTCCTTTGACATCGTATTGATATTTGATATTTTGTGATTTTGACAAATCAATGTTTAATTAAATGGAGAATAGCAACGAAGAAGCACTTCCTCTGCATTTGTGTTTTCTTTATTTCGTTTCAATGATTTTGTTGTAGTAATAGGAGAACCTAGAAACTAATCTAAAGCGAAATGAAATAATAGGAAATAATGGCGTATTCAAAGAGTTATTACCCCATGCACTTTATGGGATCGTAAAAGACACCCGTCGTTTGCCCGCGACAGAAGCGGGTATCGATGGAGCGTATAAACATGTTGGACATACCATAAATATGGTCTTTGATTATGGTTGTTAGCTACCGTTCTGCGATTGGCATCGTAATCCGCCAGTTGTTGCCTCGATTGCGGCACCAAAACAATATTTTGTGGACCCGGCAAACGATTACTATATAATATAAGTACACACATAAATAAACGATAAGGTGAACCCGGATGGATGGATGGATGGAGTACTCTGTCTGGGGAGCTCCAATTTGGATCATTAGGACAAAAGGTAACAGCGCTGAATGTATAAACCGAGAGACTTGACTAGAACTCACATTAAAAGGGCGGAAAAGGTGAAGAAAATGTAAACAATTGTTGCAAAAAAAATGTTGTGCAACATCCATATAAAGACAAATGTTGCTAGGGACAAGTTAAGCACAAAGTTTACCACAAATAGTAACTTTGTGGTCTAATAACTTCCATGTTTATCATCCGATTTTACTTAAATTTCCAGAAAACAACCTCACTGGTTCAATCAGTTTCCCTGTACGTACCTACTTTGTATGGTTATCATATCCAGTGTACATTTAGATCTCTAATTTTAGATCTAGTAAGCACTTCATCTAGTGTAACCTCAACAACTGTATGCTCTTGTTAAGCAGAGCTCAGTTTCCCAATCGGTAGCTATCGGTCGCCTAAATAATATCAGATTTTAATTTTAAATTTGGAAAAAAAGTAACAAGTAAAAATTATTTTCCAAACCCAAAAAAACTAAAATGCTCAGCTCAATGAATAATCGTGCGGCGGTGAATGTGTACTTAACGAGTGGCAGGACCTCCGAGGATCTGTCGCGTCTCGAGCTACTGGATTGGGTCAACGAGAGCCTTAAGGCTCAGTTCACCAAGATCGATGAGCTGTGCACCGGCGCAGCCTATTGTCAATTCATGGACATGTTGTTCCCAAACATTATTAACATGGATCGCGTTAAGTGCTTTACCAACGAAGAGACCGATTTCAAACAGAACTTTAAGATACTCGAAGCTAGTTTCAAAAAGATGTCCGTGGACAAGCAAATACCCAGCGAGAAGCTAATCAAACGATGCTTCCAACACCATTTGCAGTTTCTAAAGTGGTTTAAGAAATTCTTTGACGCAAATTACGAGGGCAGGAGCTATGATCCCAGAGCAGTCCGCGGTGGTGCCCCCATGGGCTTTGGAGCTGAATCAATTTCGGTGAATTTCTTGGCCAGCACTACTCCGTTCCCTATCCAAGGACGTCATTCTACATCTAATTCGGCAAGGAAGTCTTATTGGGAGCAAGTCAAACCGGGGACATCCGAAAAAGTGACACCAATGCAGATGCAGGAGACCGGGGAAGGTCAAGAGTGCTTGGCCAAGAAAATGTCCCACTTGAAGCTAAGACGAACTCAAAGTTGGTAGAAGCCAGATCCAGGGATACCCAAGGACTTAAATACTGCTTTCCAACACTAATCGAGTTCTTCTTTTCGAATTAAATACTGGTTTCCTTAATGGAATATTGTTTACCCTTCAGAGGGCTATTTCCAAATTAACAACTGTTTCCACCTCAAAATGCACTTGACATTTAAATTTCTTGTAACAATTATAAACAACAAATTAAAAAAAGAAAAAAGTTGGCATTAAATCTAATGAGAACCGACGGCAAATCAATTTGGCAGATAATACTTGGTATATGTACTTGTAGGTCTGCACAGATATCTCGCAAATAAAGAACTCGAAAGTCAAGTAGAGGCTCTGGAGTATCTCATAAAATACGAACGAGTGCTATTCTAATAAACGACAAATTAAATTACTCATCATCCATCCATGATCCCATTATATATTTGTGCGATATTAATAAACATCGAGTGCTAATGGTTCCTATATATACATATACATATATATCGAGTAAGAGTACGAAATCGAAACACTCTTTTTTTACACGGGGGGTAATAAACTCAACAACTGCAGCTGAAGTACCATAAATATTGCCCCTACATACGCCACAATATATAATTCGAACCTCCGGCTAATTATATTTTTACGATCTAGCTAGCAAGCGACTTGTTTTTTTGTTTTTATTATTATTTTTATTTCGGGTTCCATTCTCAATGGGGGAGCATGGAGAAAGGTTGGACTAGCCTAATCACAATCATGCTAAATCATGAGGACTGGTCATGATTGACACTCGACGAACGTTGATCAGTGGATGTGGATTAACCGGATGTTTGATTATACCAATTAAACAGGGGATTTAATATTATTATTAATATTATATTTATTTTTTACCTACAGAAATAAATACTTTTTGCTGTGGTATCGTTACAGCGCCTTAAGATCAGTTTTAAAATATTAAAAACATCCTTATTGGTTTTTAAAGATATCGTAGTGCCTTTTGTTTTCTAAATTCCACAAGACTTTATCAAAGATATCGCCTTATTGACCTGCAAGTCAAGGCATAAATCCCTAGATCCCCAATCTCCAGATCACCAACCAATTTTAGCATCGTCATAAGCATTACAATTACGGCATTCTATTTTATAGCTAGACTTTCAAGATTTCACCAGATTTCAATGGCTGGCTAGTCTTCAAAACAAAGCTAAAAAAAATGTGACCGTTTTGTACATTGAAAGTGGGGGCAATTCTTAAACTAACAATGTGGCAACGCTGTTTTTGAGAAGAAAAAAAAGTTTTCTCAAAGTTTGACGCGTGCGAAAATTTTTTCAATCACTTCAACTGAAAATTGCTGGAAACAGTTCATCTCATCTTTTTTTTTTGGGTAAGTTACTCCACCAAAATCACGCCACTGAGCATTCATCCATAAAACTGAAGGTACTCCTAAAACCATAAGATTTTCGCTGAAAACGAAGTGATGCCACCACCACTACGAAACCGACGACAGCAACCGGAGGAGGCTCGTCCTCCTCTGCGTCGTAGCGACCGGATTAGGCTGCGAATGGAGGCCCTTAACGAAGCCGCTAGGGCCGAATTGCTGGCTGATAGTGATAGTGATGAAGCCGATGCTGGATCAAGATCTTTCATAAGCCGGCTACTCGCAGGAGATGGCATCCTACCTCCTGGTTCGCCTCTAGTTAGCGAGGCATCTGACGACGCAGCCGGAGCTGCCCCAGGACCTTCAAGGGCTCCATTATCCCCAATTCGTGGTCAGCCCTCAAGTGCTCAACCAAGTGCAGCACGCGCAGCCACAGAAAGGATTCGTCGGGAGCTTAACGATTTCTGGAAAGATCCACCCGATGGCTGCCGCATCGAAGCTAACGAGAATAATGTATTCCAGTGGAAGGCGGAAATCGACGGACCGCCAGATTCACCCTATGAGGGCGGGATATTTAAACTTAAAATTATCTTTCATGGGGAATATCCGTACCGAGCTCCGACAGTCACATTTACCACACGCATCTTTCACTGCAACATCTCGCTGGGCGGCATTATTTGCCTGAATATTTTGCGAGCTGATTGGTCGCCAGTCCTAACAGTGGCTTCCATTTTGATAAGCATTCGATCGATGCTAACTGATCCGAATACAGATGATCCCCTGATGCCCGACCATGCTGCCGTGTACAAGGAGAACCGCCTGGCATACGACTCCACAGCGCGCCTCTGGACTAGCATATATGCCAAGCCAGAATCGGAATCCTAACAGACCGGAATCAACAATTACCAACATGTAAATCAACTTTTTGATTTCTCAATTTCTGTACAATTAAACTAACAGAAAATGCAGTTGTGTTATTCTTTCTATTCCAGTTTTAAACTTGAAAATCGGAACTTCTATGTAAATATTAAGCTAGTTAAATATTCACCCAAAGATCTTGGCACTCAAAACCCCCGCCATATCGAAAATCGTGGCACACAGTGGGGCTCTTGGCCAGCAAATTACCAGAAGTACATAATTGCTGCACCCGTTTATGAGGGGGGCCCCCTCTTATAAGCGATATAGTATAAAGTGTTGCCATAAAACAATCGATTAGACGGCGGACTCGGAGTGGGAGTGGAAGTGCCAGAAATCCAGGTACAACGCAGACCCACTTCTAATCGTTGCCTAATCATTTGCATACCCCTATCGCATCGGATCGGTTCGGGACAGGATGTTGATTGTGCCAGCATATATTCATATATATATAATAAGAATAGTACGTAAACGTGTATATGGCCCAAAGCGAGTACATTTCAATACAATTCAATGATCAAGATTAGGAACGGGGGAGTCAGTGCGCAATCGTGAAATAAACTAATAATATTTCCCTCCCATAGAGCTCCTAAACAGGTCTATAAGGTCGAGATAAGGCCGATTCTTTGACTGTTGGACAACCGGCAACGCTTACACGCTGACCAAAGCTGATTATTGATATCAGCGATATGTCTCACCCAACGTTTGGACAGCTATTTAGTCGATCGCCCCCAAACCGATTCGATTCGATTCGATCCGTTCAGTTGCGTTCCTGTGCTTTTGTGTCACTCTTGGTTGTGGTCAGGAGGAGGTGGCATGCATGACCGTCATATGTCGTCCGTTGTTCAGTACAAACGTGCAGCTTATCTCCCGAGAGGTGTTAACAAAACCCAGGGGGGGAGTTTGCTTCGAAGGGGATCTGGCGTTACCAGGTGCTCAGCACCTTGGGGTTCAGCAGGTGCTTAAAATTAATGCAAGGGATTTTACAGGATTTTAAAAGATGGTTCCCAAAGATAATCCAATTTAAAACATGATAATTATTTATAATAATTAGCATCAGTATTGAGACCTTAATGGAAATGTAAGACTGATCATTATTATATATTAATAATGGGGAATTTTATATAGATTTAAAGACATATAAGCTTGAGCCCTAATGAAACCAACTGTTAATTATAGTATGGCTTTCTAATTAATTCTTTTTACTGTACTGAACATGTTTACAATGTTAAATCTTAAGGTCTTAAAGTCTTAAAAAGCTCACCATATAAATTTGTATAAATCTTTTATATATTTTTAGTGACATTTTCGGTAACTTTAATATAAAATCTATGATCTAAGATGATAGTTCTTACTGTAACTCCTCTGAAGACAAAATTTAGACACCTTAAACCCTAAATTTCTATAAGACAAAGCTGACCATAAGAGATGTATACCTTCAAGATCCTATATATTGGCAATAAATTCCTAATAACATTTGTTAATGAACCAACTTTAAATCTATATATACTTCAACTTCATTTCAATATATCCACCAACCTTTACTCTATATATTTTAAAAGCTCTATCTAGTCTCCAATCTCAACTATATTTTCCCTGTAATTAAAACCCAATAATTCCTGTAACTATAATTGCAACTCTCAAGAAAATTAATAAAGTAAAAACAAAAGCTGATTCATACTCCTCATAACAAATCACTGTGACTTGTCATATTTTCTCTTCTTTTTTTAATCTTTTTTCCTGAAGGAAAATTCCAGAGAAAATTCTTTATATAGTAAATATAGTATTTGTCAAGCTCTTTCCAGTGAATTGGGTAATGGGAACAAGGCAAAATCGTGTCCGAAATGGAAACAAAATCCATATCGAGGAGGAGAAGGCGCCTCTGGACACTTGTCGTCGGAGAACATTGGCATTGGATGGATGGATGTTGGCTTACAACACTTGGGGGGAGGGTTTCGGTTTGCCACCTGAATTTGGCATTGATAAAGCCGCAGACGAAACGGACAGACGGACAAACGGACAAACGGACGGACATAGTTGACACAGATACGTATAGTCCAGATACAGATACGAGACGACAGAGAGAGAGACAATCGTTGGCAGTTTGTAATGAAAAATTGATTAAAGCTCGACGCTCGACCGATCAAATAATAAATTTATCACAAAATAAACGTGGAAATTAAACACAGAAGCCGAGCGCAGAGTAGAGCGGTACGGGGGGAAGAGAATAAATGAGATTACAATTAATAAAATAATCGATAAGTGGCCTTTACTGGCTCTGCCTACAATCGCATTTATAAACAAATAAAAAAAAATAAAATATATATATATTATATACATATATTTATCGGTTTCAGATTGTAGGCCAAAGTTAATTACGCTTTCTGATTTGCCATAGCCACTCGACAACGACGACGACGATGGATTCCATTCGAAATGGCCCGCAGATCCTTATCCAGGCCCCGGCAGACCGGAAAATGTTTTTATATTTCGGATCGAAATCTATACTTTCAATGTATTTAGAAGAACATTATCAACTTGGCAATAAGATGGCAACAAATAGAGGAAAAATTAATATTAATTTATAGTAATATGACAAAGTTAGGGAAACCTTTTAAGAGGCAGACCGGAAAATGTTTTTATATTTCGGATCGAAATCTATACTTTCAATGTATTTAGAAGAACATTATCAACTTGGCAATAAGATGGCAACAAATCGAGGAAATTTTCATATTAATTTATAGTAATATGACAAAGTTAAGGAAACCTATTAAGAGGAGGGAACTCTCTCTCCTCTTTTTTTAATTCACTTCCCAGCTGGACTCGTGTCCGCAGGCCAAATGCCATTTTAATGACCCAACTCTCTCGAATCTCCTGGGCAGTGGAAAATGGGAAAAGTGGGAGGGAAAATGGCATCCACGGACTTTGTAGCGAACGCAATTCTAATTAGCCTATGCGGTGCAATAAACCAACGCAAGGGAAAAGCGGAAAAGCAGTGGGAGGCATGGCTGCTGTGGGGATGGAAAATCAAATCAAATTAAGTCGCCGCTTTATGGGTGGGTTGTGGATTTTACACCGCCCAACGACTGGCGTTTTTAATAATGTTGTTGCTCATTTCGCGACCAGCGTCATTATCTGCATGTAATTTCTCATTTTCATAGTCAATTAAGTCAATCACACGCCCTTTTAGCCACCGCAAGCAAGAACGCTTCCCCCTTGCGATGGAAAGCGATGAAAAGCGAAGCATTGGAAGGCGTTGAAAAGCCTGGGACTGGCTGAAGGCTGCAACAACAGCAAGAGGAGGAAAGGAGAATGGGAAAAGCTGAAAACCGAAAGCCGAAAGCCACCCCCTGCAAATTAACACGTTGTTGTTTTTGCCCGCCAACGCCAGTGGCGGTGGTGTGTTTCCGTTTCCGCTTTGGCACCACCCCCTTGCACACTGAGAAGAATAATCGGACAACAATTTGGTATAGAATTAAATAAATACCTAATGATATATCTACATCTAGGAATATGGTAAAACAATAAGAGAAACTAACCCCGGAAAGCATGTAGTTTGAATTTAAATTACAGCATCTTATCCTAAATCAATTAAACCTAAACTTAAAAAATTAGCATTTTTAAATCCATATTTTGTAATGACTATTTTTTTAACAAATCAAAAAATTCATAACTCTGCCAAAAATGCATCAATTTCAATTCGGTAAACTGTTTTGTGCTAGTTTTTACAAGATTAACAAAACTGCATACTGAGTTTTTAAGTTTTACAAAATTCAAATTTTGTCAATTTTCTAAATTTTAACAATATAAAATTTAAGGATACAAATTTGACAAAAAAATCTTAAAATTTTTGATTCTATAAAACTTTTCTAAATCGATTCTGCTGTTCATTCTGATCAAGAATATATATGATTTATAGGGTCGGAAATGACTTATTCGTGAGTTACAAGCTTCTGACTAAAATTAAAATACCATTTTTGGCTCGAAATTTACCCTTATTTTTATATAACAATTTTTTAGACAATTCAAAGCTTTAAAAATTCATAACACAGCCAAAAATGCATTAATTTCCATTCGGAAAGTTGTTCTGTGCTAGTTTTTATAAGATTAATAAATCTGCATACTGCATATTTAAGTTTTACAAAATTCAAATTTTGTCAATTTTCTAACTTTTAACAATATAAAATTTAATGATAAAAATTTGACAAAAAAATCGGAAAAAAATATTTTCTATCAAATATGTCTAGATCGATTCGGCTTTTCATTCTGATAAAGAATATATATGATTTATATGGTCGGAAATGGCTCCTTTGTGAGTTACAAGCTTCTGACTAAAATTAAAATACCATTTTTGGCCCGAAATTTATCATTACTTTTATATTATAATTTTTTAGACAAATCAAAATTTAAAAAATTCATAACTCAGCCAAAAATGCATTAATTTCAATTCGGAAAGCTGTTCTGTGCTAGTTTTTATAAGAATAACAAATCTGCATACTGCATTTTCAAGTTTTAAAAAATTCAAATTTTGTCAATTTTCTACATTTTAACAATATAAAATTTAATGATAAAAATGTGACAAAAAATTCGTAAAAAATATTTTCTACAAAACTTGTCTAGATTGATTCGGCTTTTCATTCTGATCAAGAATATATATGATTTATAGGATCGGAAATGACTCCTTTGTGAGTTACAAGCTTCTGACTAAAAATAAAATACCATTTTTGTACCGAAATTTATCATTACTTTTATATTATAATTTTTTAGACAAATCAAAATTTAAAAAATTCATAACTCAGCCAAAAATGCATTAATTTCAATTCGGAAAGCTGTTCTGTGCTAGTTTTTATAAGAATAACAAATCTGCATACTGCATTTTCAAGTTTTAAAAAATTCAAATTTTGTCAATTTTCTACATTTTAACAATATAAAATTTAATGATAAAAATGTGACAAAAAATTCGTAAAAAATATTTTCTACAAAACTTGTCTAGATTGATTCGGCTTTTCATTCTGATCAAGAATATATATGATTTATAGGATCG